CTGATAACTTATGTCCACTGTTTCACTCTTGTCTAACCTAACGATTTGGTCGTATAATAAAAAGGATTTCAGCAGATTTGTCAGGCATGACCTTCCTTTTATGAATCTGTACTGAATGTCCTCTACTAAATTATGCATTTCCAAATGTTCTGCAATTTTGGCTTTTATCAACACTTCCAATACATACCCACAGCTGAAGCTGGATTTCCTGTTCGAAGATTCAGCAGAACTCTGTCACAGCCCAATGAAATTCATCAGTTTTTCAGAAGCCTCCATCATACAACTTCAGCTTCTTGTCCTCATCTTACTGAATGGTTCTTTCTGAGAAAAAGTAGGTTTAGATTGGATATTAGAGAGAAATTCTTGGCTGTGAGGGTGGTGAGGGGCTGGAATGGATTTCCCAGGGAAGCTGTGGCTGGCCCTGAATCCCTGGCAGTGTCCAAGGCCAGGCTGGACAGGGCTTGGAGCAACCTGGGATAATGGAAGGTGTCGTGTTTTGAACGAGGTGAGCTTTAAACCACTTTTCTGTCCCAAACTATTCTGTAATTCTGTAAACACACTGGAATCAGTATTTTGGTTTATAGAGCTCTGACAGTCCTGAGTGCTCAGGAAATGCACAGGGTTGGTGTCACACATGGGATGAGCTGCTGAGTTTCAGCCCACTCTCAGGTAAGGGGGTTTAGGCTGATAGCTCAGTCTAAATTTGGTCTCTAGCTTCCTAAATAATTTCAGTTGAGACTGGAGGTCAGTTCACCTCTCTGTGCATCCATTTATTTTCCTTGCCTGTTTCCTAAAGAGTATTTTCCACTGCAGACTTGTGTTGCGCTTTTGGCTGAATATATATGTGTGAGGGGGGAAGGGAAACTCCAAATCCTCTGAGTGTTCTTGCTTAAAGCCCTTATGTTTGTGCTTATACCTACTTTGAACATATACCTTGTCACTTGGGCTATGCTTCCAAATCTGGATTTCTCTTGGAGGGATGTTCTGACCCACCTACTTTGCACTGCTGATATATTTAGCAAAGTTTTGCCGTAATAGTCCTCTGGTGCTGTCCTAAAGCTGTGACCTGCTCTGCTGCCTCTCTCCTTCCCTGGCCCCTTCCATGCGTCAAAAGCCAGAGTTCTGCACAGGACCAGGGGAGTGGCTTTAAACTGAGAGTAGGTTTGGATTCTGTGTTGGGGAGAAATTCATCCCTGTGAGAGTGGGGAGGCCCTGGCACAGGTTGCCCAGAGAAGCTGTGGTTGCCCCTGGATCCTTGGAAGTGTCCAAGGCCAGATTGGATGGGGCTTGGATCAGCCTGGGATAGTGGAAGGTGTCCCTGCCTGTGACAGGGGGATGGAATGGGATGAGTTTGAAGGTCCCTCCCAACCCAAACCAGCTTGGGAGTTCATGTTTCCTTATCCCCAAGCCTGGCTGATGCAAAGCAAAGGTGCTGCTCAGCCTGGGTAGATTGAGAGTGGCGCAGGAGGGTCCCAGCTGGATCTACAACTCCCTGACTGGAGGAAGCAGCCAGGTGGAGATTGGCCTCTTCTCCCAGGTAAAAACAGACAGGACAAGAGGAAATTTCCTCAAGCTGTGCTAGGGGAGGTTTAGATTGGCTCTTAGGAACGATTTCCTAAACAAAAGGGTGGTCAGGCATTGGAAGAGGCTGCCAGGTAGGTTTGGAGTCCCCATCCCTGGAGGTGTCCAAGGAAGGACTGCACGTGCCACTTAGTGCTCTGGACTGGTGACAAGATAGGGATCAGTCACAGCTTGGACTCAATGATCTTGGAGGTCTTTTTCAACCTCAGTAATTTGGGATTCTGGGATCCCAGTGCTGGAGCAGAACATGTGGGGATGGAGTATTAAGACTACAGGGAATGGTCTATTCTTTAGCCTGGACTCAGCTTTTAGAGCATAAGCACCCCTAGATCCCTGCTTGGGTCTGTGTCTGCCCTGCTTATTGAAAGAGAAGATTGGAGTTATGGAGATACTTAACTTAAAATTACAGAAGATGCTCAGTGTTATAGATTGGCTTTTCTTTAAAAAGCCAGGTTCTGCCTCCCTCCTCCAGCCTTCCTGTTAGATGTCATCCAAGATGGATTCCAAGTGCAAAAAAAAAAAAAAAGGGAAAAGAAATAAAGCAAGTGAACCTGCAGCAAGTGAATCATTCCTACTAAATTTAAACCACTTATTATGGGGAGGGAAAAAAAAAAGAACTCGGATTACAGGTTTAGCAAGCGTGAGCACATACTTCAGCGTGTATTGCTGGATTTGCAATTGCCAAACTACTGATTTCTTGGAACTCTGCTATTAGCATTGTTAAGCAGTGTTCCAGACAGTCACTCCTATAAATCCTGTTAATATGTTAAGCAGGAGAAGGCCTTTGAAAGAATAATATTTAGCTGGTGAGTGATCTCCATTTGGGTGTGTGGTCTGGGCTAAGGTAGGGGAAGTGACTGTGCTTGCTCTTGGAATGTGTGGCTGGAGCATCCAATTGATGTTTGCTTGAATGTTGCTGCCATTTCTAGTAGGTGCTTGGGAATATTTTATTTATTTTTGGGAGAAAAGTGTTTAACAGGGTGTATGAAGGGGCCAGGAAGAAAACTGGAGAGGGACTTTGGTCAAGAACCTGAGGGACACAAGGAATGGCTTCCCCATGCCGTAAGGCAGGGCTAGATGGAATATTGAGAAGGAATTCTTGGCTGTGAGGGTGGGGAGGCTCTGGGATGGAATTCCCAGAGAAGCTGTGGCTGCCCCTGGATCCCTGGCAGTGTCCAAGGCTAGGCTGGATGGAGCTTGGAGCAAGCAGGGACAATGGAAGGTGTCCCTGCCCATGACACAGGGTGACACTGAATAAGCTTTAAGGTCCCTTCCAGAGCAAACCGTCCTGTGATTCCATGATTCTCTAGCTCTTGACTTTGGAATTAATATTTTGTTTCACATAGCTTTGAGAGGACTCTCTGCTGAGATCAGAGTACCAGCAGCACCCACCTGCAGTTCAGCAGGGTGGGTGTCACACATGGAATGAGTGTCCGAGTCTCAGCCCAGTCACAGATCAGTGAGTTCCAGCCCCCTGGCCTGGGCAGGGACAACTCATCTCTGTTCTGCATGAGTCACTGGGTAGAAACAAGATGAAGTCTCTGGTATAAAGTCACCAGAGCACAGCTTCACCTTGGACTAAAAGCTCATCCTCTCCCTTGTGTCTGCTGCTCCATGTTCCTCTGCAGGGGTGGCAGAGCCCCTCAGGCTTTCTGGCAAAGCTGTGAAAAAGGAAACTTTGATCGGCCTCTTTGCTTGCCATGGATAATTCCTGTAGAGGGGAAGCTGATCAAAGTCCAGGTCAGCTGGGAGGAAGAAGAGGGGAAGCAGAAAGGGACCGTGGAGCCACAGATCGATATTTTCAGCACAACAGGTTGACAAGGGCACGGGGTGGAGCGAGGTGAGGGGATGTGTTTGATCTGTGCTGCTGCAGTGGGGACATGTCTGCCACAGCCCAGCCCTGCTCCAGCATCCCTGGCAGAGTCAGGATTCTCAGATAACTCCTCGTGTTCTGAAGTGAGCAGCAGATGGGTGCCCTGTGACCTCCAGCAGTTGTGAGCAGAGGGCAGACCCTGGTGACAATGCCCTGCTCTCAGCCTCCTTTTATGGCACAATTTTTATGTAGACTTTTTTTGGAGGTGAAAAAGAGCTGCATTCTTATTTTATTACAAGTAACCGAGGGCTTGCAGCATTTTTCAGAACACCATTTTATATTTTGTAAAGTTCCTACCAAGTTTATTGTTTGTACAGCATTTTATCACATTCCTTTTTGGGAAAAAGTAATGATGATCTTAAATCCAAAGCCTGTTTTAAAACAGATAATACTTAAATTTTATGCAGTGAATTTGCTATTGTCAAGCGATACCACTTTCCTCCTAATACTTTTTCTTGTGCCATACAGCAGTGCAAAAATAAAGGATTGTGAGGCATGACTTGTTTCTCTTGCTTGTTCCTGGTACAAGTGATGGCAGATACAATTCTAGTTTCTTTTTTTGGGTCAGCAACTGCGTTTAGGTTCTTGAACTCAATTCACCTGAATGTGCTTCTTGTATTGAGCATCTTCATTGGATTGTGTAGTTGCAATTCTCTGTCCCTGCCGAGGGTTTTACGTCCATGCAAATGCAAATTCCAGGCATGGGGGACCACTCTATGAAAAAATGCAGCTTTTGGAAGTGTTCCCTGATTTGGCACAGGAAAAGTTAAAATCAAGTCACATAAAAAGGAAATCAAGTTTGATTCAATCAACACATTTCAAAGCCCTTGTCTTGCAATTAATGTTCCTCTATCAAGGACCCAATGCCAAGTGCAGTTTCTGGAATTCACTAAAGAGGGTTTGGGGCATCTACAGAGGTGTTCCCTGGAGAGTCATGGATGAAGGAAGGTCCCTTCCTATCCAGTTGGATTTCTTGGAGCTGTTGTATCTTCTGCAGTGTCCCTTGTTGACCCTACCCTTTCCCACACAGAATCTATGAGTTTCCCACAGAATCTGTGAGTTCCTCTTCCTAGTGGACTCCTGAATCCCCTTTGGGACAAGCAGTCTGCCGTGGAGGTGGATTCATGGCGTGCAGACGTTGTGCTGGGCACTAGACCACCTCATTTTGCTAGGCGTGTCCAGGGCTCCTGTGTCCCTGTATCCCTCACAGAAAACTATCAAGATAATTAGTGTTAATGGGATGGTTTTTGGAGGAGTCTCTCATTTATTGTATGTTTGGACTCAAGGACTTGGAAGTCTCCCATCCATCAGTTTTGTTGGGATGGAGGTGTGTTCCTTAGAGTGGAGTTGAAGTTGCAAACCCTGCTGGTGTCATGTAGGGGCTTTAAATCTCAGTTCACTCCAGGGCCTGTCTTACCTCTGGTAGCCCTGTAGGAGTCAGGTAACTCCTAATTCACTCTTCCTCCCCCATTTCAGTGCTCAAAGTGATCTGAGGTGGCTGAGAACCTGTTTGATCCCTAAGGAAATGGGGTTGTAGCAGTCATTGGCTGTCCCTACTGGTCAGGAGTTTGTGCCTCGCTGCCACTCTTCTGCTGGTGACATTCACACGTCATTTCAGCTGGAAAAGCCAATTCAGGTATGTTCTTTTATTCCAGGCAAGCTTTTAGCCGTGTTTGGAGGGGTGAACATGCAGCAATCCAGGAGATACAGGAGTGTAGGTGGTTGGGATGTTAAGGCTGGAAGCTCATTTGTAAACATAACCAAGGTACAACCTGGGTGCTCTGCTCAAATGGGTCTGCAGGGGTGGCTTGGTGACAGAATTTCATTTCCAGCTGCCATTAAGGACAAAGCAACACTAAATAACATCCTTTTACTGGGCTTGCATTGCCTTTGATGGATCTCTGGGACTTCTGGAGCAGCTCAGGGTCCGTTCACAGATGGTCATTTCTGCCTTTCTGGAAGCCTTGGAGTTTGGAGAACGTCATGATTTTGTGACCTCAGTTTTTCTGTAGTAGGATCTACTGCCAGTCTGTCTCAAAATGCAGCCTGGCCTCTGCCTCGTGCTCTAGGAAATTCGAATAAATTTGTGAAAGGAGGTTTCTTTTGCATGGGATTTGGGAGGGAGAAGAAGGGAGAAACAGTTTTGACTGTGATCTTTGGCTAATTGTCCTGTGCAAATGTGCTGCGGGGCATATTGTAGGAGAAATCATTTATTTGCTTTTCTACGTTTACCTGTAATAAATGATAAGCTGTGGCTGTATCATAAGATTGAGGCGTTTGTTTTCCAAAGGGGAGAGGCTGCTGTCGATGTTTTCCCCTCAGAGTTCAGAGAAAAAACAAGATTCCATAAAAAAATTGTAAACTTGTTAACTTGACAAGGAGCTTCTGCATTCCCTCACCATAATCCCAAAATATGGCCTGCTGCAGGGTTGTACTGTGAAAGGTTTGGTAAACAACACACTCACAGTAAGAATGAAAATAGCAGTGACTGGAGGTGACTTCTGAGCATTTTTTAAAGCATTTTTATGTTCATAAAAAGTGTTTCCACTCACTGGCGCAGGTTGCTCAGAGAAAATGAAGTCTTAAATTTTGAAGATACTCAGGACATGGTCCTGAACAGCTGGCTTTGGTGGCCCTGCTTGAGCAGGAAGCTTGGATAAAAGGATTTCCAGGTGAATCTGGATGCTGCACGTCACCAAGCCATGGGGTGTGCTCAGGAGGTGGCAGTGCCTGGAGAAGGTTCCTAGCCTTGCTTCCCAGGGCACAAATAAAACACATCCTCGAGTCATATGGCAGAGCTTTTTTTACATTTTTTTTTCCCTAATATGCCTATTTTGGGAAAATGGGCTAGAGAGTCCTAGATTAGCTCCAGTATTTTGGACAGTAGTCCTACTTTTGTGCGTGTACCCAGAAGAATTTAAGTTTTGATACAAATGCAGTACCTGGACTTTTAAAAGCACTGGGTAAATAAGAGCCTGTCTGAACATCTCCCAGGAATAAAGGACTTGGAGCTGGCAAAGGAGGGCTGCTGTCTGGAATGTGAAGCCAGACACATTCCAAGTAGAAATTAAGTACAAATTTGTAGTGGAGAGGGTGATTAATCATCAGAATGAACTGGAGGGGATGGATCCTGGGTCTCTTGCTAGTTTTGAGGCAGGATGTCCTGGGACAGAAGTTAAACCAGGTGACAGCTTTACTTCACACTGACCTCAGTGTATAGAAGCCTATTAAATTCAAAATCATTTAGGTTGGAAAAGACCTCCAAACTCATCCAGCTGGAATGAGTCCCACGTTTGACAGATGCTTGTCACCCAGCATCAAGTGACACATCCAGCTGTGCCTTGGGCACCTCCAGGGATGGGGACTCCACCACCTCCCTGGGCCCATTCCAATGTTGAACAACCTTTTCCATGAAGAAATTCCTCTTGATGTCCAGACTGAACCTCCCCAACACGTTCATGTACATGTGTACACACGTGTGCACAGGGTCCACCCAGAAGACCTGACAACTCCTACAGACCTTAAGCTGAACATTGAGTAAAAGACCTAAATTTTTTAATTTTTACCGTTTCTAGGAGAGTATTGGTTTGTAATTATGCGTGGAGTTGTGGATCTGCCTTTACTGCAAGTTCAGCAGTGGTAGAACTTTGTTCTTAGGGCTGAGTTTCTTCACCAGCCTGGACCTTGGTGGTTCTGCATTTCAGGAGTGGTGTGACAATTGTAGTGGTGGGGCCTCTGCTGTGTTCAGCCACTGCCCTGGGTGGCTTTAAGCAAGAATTCAGCCCCTCTGTTCATGTTTTACTTAGGTCAAAATGTTGATGTTTGTCTTCCCCAAAGACAAAAGCTTTTAGTTTGTTATTTGTAAAGCCATTTTAAGAACTCACCAAGGAAGGTATTAGTGAAATACGAAATGATGGCTTTTAAAAAAAAAAAAAATTATACTGTGTGAGTCACTCAGAAATTAAAAGAGAAAATTAGTTTCTCTTCCAAATAAGTGATATCAGCCTCATCTTTACCAAGTGACTTTCTCCTTGCTTCTGCTGGGTGTTGTGGATCAGGGTGAACTCTACTTCAAAACATTTAATTGCACACAGTGAGAAATGAAGAAAACTGAAGGGGATCCCAAGAATGTATTAAAAATCAGAACTAAAATGAGAATGATTTCATGTCAAGTGAGACAAATGCAGAGTTGATACTCCAGTGCTTCACACTTCCACTTGTCCTTGGCACCGAGAAAATGAGATTTTTAATATCTGAAAAACAGATTGCCATGAAGACTCATCCATTGTAAATTTAAGCTGCCTTTATAGCAACTTAAGCTGGGGACAAGATTGTTCATTACATCTGATTCTACAACTGCAGCCATGATTTCCATATTAATAGTGACTTTTTTTTTTTTATTGTCTCTACCAGAAATAGGAAGGGGAGCTGGTTGTGTTTTCCCTGGGTTAGCAGATAATTTATTTAATGAATAATGCGAAAAGGGCAAAGGTTTGTGAGTTCTTACTCCCATATCACCACAAAGAGTGGTGACACCTGCCTTGGCTGCTGTGCTCAGACTGCTTTGGTGCTAAAAGGAGACTGAGGGAAAGGGGGATATTGAATGATGATTCAGAGTCAGGATTTGTTGCTGATGGAATTTATGTTGGTCAGGATTGAACTGTTTTGACTCAGATTTTAGGTGAAGGGTTTGCTTGTTCCCTGCCTGATGTGCCCTTAAGCTACAAAAGCATTGAAGCAACTTCTCACATGTGTCTGGGGGTGGGGAAGGTATTTCTGTGCCACTGAACTTTAGACCAACGTGGAGTCAAAGACTGTTTGTGCCCCTTTTCAATAGCGGCCGCTGGGGCTGGCAGCGCCTGGAGGAAGCACCAGCTTCCTCTCCTTTCTCTGGAGCTGGGTTTCCTTTCACCAGCCCTGCTCCCAAGGCAGACCTGAGCCTTCCCTGTCCTTCCTTACTTCGTCTGGGATGGTTTGTGGTTGTATTCTGAGTGTAGTAAACCTGCCTGGTACTTTAACATAGCAAAAGCAGAGAATTATCCCTATTTTCTCATGGATTTGCTGCTGTTTATTTCTGCTGAAATCCATTCGTCCTCTGTCTGCACTCACAGATCTGCAGTCTCTTGGAAAAGCTCATCTTCCTCCTCTAATCGCATCCCAAATTTGGTCTAGATCCTAATGGCTCTTCTCTTAAAACATCTGAGGTCCATACCAGCTTTTCCCTCTTTCATTGCTATCACTAATATCATCCTCCTGCCTTTGTCATCTCAAAACCTGAGTTACAGCAGCCTTTTCTTTGCTTCTCTTATCTCATCTCCTCATGTTCTACTTTTAATCCTGCATTTCATGATGATGGAAGACGATTTTGTTTTTCCTTTCTGGGTTTTCTTCTTTGCTACATCCATACTCCTCACCCTGGAAGCAGATCTTTCTCTGAGGAATCCAGTTCTTTATCATTAGCCCCTCTGACCTTCAGAAAGTTTGTATATATTCAGTCTAATTTGTTCCTCTTTGGAAAACAAAACAGCTCTCTGTATTAAAATTTGGCAAGAAGTCAGCAGCATGATCTCATATTTTTTTGTGACTGCCTCGGGGAATATGTTTAAAATGCAGTTAAGAGATTTGACAGAGGAGGGGCTTTGTGGGGAAGACTCTCTAAAAGGTTTGGGGTGGCTGACAGGGAGGGACCTGGGTGTTTGGCTCTTCCATCCATCAGTGGTTTGGTGTCACTGATTCTCTCCCAGCTCACAGAACGTGGCCTGTGAGGGTCTGCTGGGACAATTTGTCTTGGTCACCTCTTTTCCTGGAGAGAAAGAGGCAGCTCAGAGCCTCAGTGTGGGCCACATGAGTTCTTCTGGAAGAGCAGCAGCCAACTCTCAGCACCTCCCCTCCCTGGAAACACCCAGAGCTTTCCCTGACCACAGCTGGGTGGGAGAAGGCTCTTACGGACAGGCTTAAACCTCCCAGGAAAGCTGGTGGTCAAAAGCTGAGTGCTTCCACTTCTGGGAAAGCTCATTCAGACCAGCCTTTGGTCCTGGAAGTTCATGAGGTTCTTCATGGAGGAAAAAAGGGAGAAAACCACGTAGAGATGATATCACCATCCCTGGAGGGATTTAGGAGCCGTGTGGATGTGGCACTTGGGGACAGCCTTGGCAGTGCTGGGGTAACAGTTTTACTTGATGGTCTTGATGGAGGTGATTTTCCTCCTGTGCTCTGCTTTGTGAAACCTCATGTGAAATTCTGTGTCCAGCTCTGGGGTCCTCAGCACAGGGAAGACGTGAAGCTGTTGGAGTGAAACCAGAGTAGGCCACGGAGCTGCTCCGAGGGCTGGAGCCCCTCTGGAGCCAGACTGGGAGAGCTGAGAATGTTCAGCCTGGAAAAGGCTCCAGAGAGTCCTCAGAGCCCCTTTCAGGACCTAAAGGGCCTGCTCTCCATGGATTAGCAATCCACAATTGCTGATGTTACAGATGGAGCAGAGAAAATTATCCCTGTGCTCCCAGCTCCCTGTGCTGCTGTATCCACTCATTTTCTATCCCAGCTCTGCCTGGATATAACATCCTGCTTTTCTCTTTCCTTTTGGTTAATAGTTTGACTTTTGGAGCACTTTCAGTCCATGTTAGTTTGTGGAGAAAGACATCAGCAGTGATAGCTGAGGAAAATTCTATTAGGTCATTCCTCCTCAGAACACAGTACCTGTCTCCTGAGCTCTTTGCGGATGTTGGCCAAATAATCCTTTTAATAGCTTTTGTGAGTTAAAAGGGTAGGTAACTGTCATAAGGCTAAATGATTGCATAGATTAATTTACTTGTGGCCGAAAGAAATCAATTGTAATTTAAATTTTTGTCTCTGGACTGATTACAACACCAGACATCAACTTTCTCCGTAAGAATCTACCATGTGCATTGAAGTCTGTGAGTCTGGATTAGTGACAGATTATCCAGAATGATGTGATTGGATCTCTTTGCCTCTCCCAGACATCTCTAATGTTCTTGGATCTTTTCCTTGTGTCTTACAGAATGGTGAATAACACTGAAGACCCTCAAGAGGCTTTGTAACGTCCCATCCTCATGTAAAGTATGCTCAGAACTTTTCCAGTAGTGTAAGTACAAGCTGAAGAAACTCATAGCAATTGAGAGTAATTTTTTGGTGTTCTTCTGTTAAATTGTCTAAAAAGAGCAGGGAAATGCTTACAATGATTATGAGCAGTTGGCTGAGTTGGAGAGTTTCACTGGTTTAGTGGAAGATTTAAACCTGGAATAGTAAATTAACTGGATGTTTAAATTAGGGTGTAGTAATGTTGAATTGCTCACTTGGTCTGGCTTATGTACTGTTTGTACTTCTGCATTTCTGTCACTAAAACAGAAGGGAAATGATGCAGTTCTTAGAAAATCAGTCTTGATCAGAGAAAAATCAGTGTTAAAGGAGAGATCTCTGTACAGCAACTGAACAAATGAGAGTGATAAAAAGTTGAACACTCTAGATTTGCTGAAAGGGATGAGCTACCTTCAATTTAGTAGCCTCTGGCAGAGACAGAAAACCTGGGGTACCTCACCTAACCCTGGTGCTGGATGTGTTACTCCAAGCAACTCAAGTGTCTTCAGTGCCAGTTGAGGTTGTCCAAATCTCATTGTGGAATTTGAAATCAGTTTGTTCCTTTTAATTACTTCCGTCATATATCTTCAATTTAATTGGTTTCTATGCTGTTTCTTCAATAAATAAGCAAATAAATTCAAATTTTGAAGCTTGTCAGGCTGAAAGGAAGGGCTCGACCTGCACTGTGCTGTCACTCATCTCCCACTGGGCAGTCCTGTGTGGCTGTTCACAATATCCCTGTTACAGGCACAGCCAAATGCTCATCCCCTGCAATCAGATCCTGAGATACTTTGACCTCTTGACTTCAGATTGTTCCTTCTGTCAGGTCTGGAAAGAGAAGCCTTTTCTGCAGGATAGGTAGCAAGGAGCTGGGCTGCTGTGAATGCATCACATTTTCCCTGATGGGTTATTTCAAGGATGAAGATCTATCCTTGGACAGTGATAGTGCAAGTGGCAGTGCAGAACAGCCTTCTGTAGAAGGAGTCACAGCAAAAAATAATGACTGACAGGGATTTAATGCTGGATACCAAACTCTAAAGGATTTAAAAAAGCCATTAATTAGTGATTTTCTATTGCCAGTGGCTTAGTGTTCTGTTCAAAACTGGTGGTTTCCTATTTTGCTTCCAGTCCCTTGAGCCACCTCCTCTTCTTCCTTTTAGCTGGAAGTATGTTGGATTTCAGTATTAAAATCACCACTTGAAATTGTAAAGATCTGGTTCACAGCAGGAGAGAAGTCTGGAGGTAAGGCCACATCACCCTGGGCATCTTTGTTATCCCAGTAATTTGGAGTTTGCTGGGTGACCTCAGAGCTCCTCTGTGCTTTGAGTGAGCACAAGGACATCTCAGAGCTTTGTGTCAGGCTTTGGTCAGAAATTTCCAGACTGGGAATTGCATAGCTTGAATTTCCTGTGCTTTAGCTCAATTTCAGTCATGTTCTGCCCCTGTGCAGTTTTCTGCTGCCACCTCCCAGCAGAGCAGTAGCAGCTTCCTTGATTTATCTCAGTGTATGTGTAGTCAGTATGTCCATGGAAGATGCTGTAAAAGTAGAGGTGAATCATTTTTGACTGAGGGAAAACCGGGGGGAACATATTTGGAGGGAATTAGAGAGTATTAAATTAGAGGAAATGGGCCAAGATGACCCATTTAGATAGAAAGTTTCCAGATTAAACCACAGATATCTTTTTAAAAGGGTAAAAGGGATTGTGAAGGGGAAAGAAGAAAATGGAGCCTTAAAAATTTTTTTTAAAGTTTGAATTTAAATAATGATGAAGATTAAGATTGAAGAGTTGCAGAGCTGCCGTGGTCAGAGTTGGGTTGCTCCTAAGAGCAGGAGTCACTCGGGTGCAGTTACTATTTCACTGCCTATTTTTACCCTTAGTAGGATGAGAGTCAGTGCTGGAGAGGAGTTTGAGGCATGGTGTGAACACAGAACTCTTGATCTTGGCTTCCCAGGAATTAAGAATTTATCTAAAATTAAGTCCTGTAGCCAAAACAGCTTTATCTCTATTGGGCTCCCCATAAATATGGGAGTAATTACTTGAGCTTTGTAGTCCATATTGATTAATTAATATGTGTTAATAGTGAGCTATGGCTATCAGTGTGTTTTACGTCCCTCAGTGTATGATTTCTGATAGAACCAGACAGTTTCACTGTCGTCACTTCAAATTTACCTGGATGATCAGGCCAGTGGTTATGAATTTAACTGCCAGCAATGGCAGGGGAGTCTGGAGAGTGAATAAAAGAAAATCAGGGTGAATAATGCAGATGGGGAAGGACTGGATTGAAGCCTTGTCATCATTTGGGAAAAACAACAGGAAGAAAAGAACAAGAGTGTGACTTCTACCAAGTTAGCACGGATTGAAGAGCAGGTACTGGACTTAAAGTGGCTCAGAAAATCACCACAGGCTGAGCTGTACCTGTGCAGTGTCCTTGAAATGTGACACAGAACAGGTGAATTAAACTCAGGTAACAGAAAACTCAGCTAATTTTCTCCTTTTGTCTTTGGTGACAAGGTATTGTGTAAATAGTGGGTGACTCTGGGAGCATTCATTTGGCTTTTTTAGCTTTTTAACTGAAACTGCCTGAGTCTTTGGTTCACTTTAAGATAAACCACATGAGTTAATTCATGATTTCGTAGCAAAAGTGACCTAAAGAAAAAATCTTGTTGTATGGTAAAGTTTTTTCCTCAAAAGGGTTTGGCACAGCTGCCCAGGGAAGTGGTGGATTCCCTTCCCTGGAGGGATTTGAAAGCTGTGTGGATGTGACACTTGGGAACGTGGGTTAGTGGTGGCCTTGGCAGTGTGGAATGTGCACTGAGCCTTGTCTGTCATGCAGGAAATTCCCCTGGTTTGGGTCTGGGTTACACAAAGACATGTTTGTTGCTTTAAGAGCATTAATTAGGATATTAATTTCTTTCTGAAATGCTTTTAACTAAAATACAACTCCAGTATGGAAGCAGCAGTGGCCAGAAGCCCATGGTTTTTGCTGTTATGATTTATTTTCTTCAAGGAGACACTGTTATCTATTCCTGAGTTCTCCAAGTGTAATCTCTGTCTTCACTAAGGCTGTGCCAGTAATACTGCACTTACAAACTGTTTTTCTAGTGGAAAATAATTTGCTTTGTAGTTAAGCACAAAAACGGGTAGGTGAGGTTCAGCTGTTTGCTGAGTTTGGATTTTAATTTTCTGAAGTAATTAATTTCTCTTTTAAGACAGTGTTTTAGTTGTTATAGATCCTGAAGGAGAGTGAGGGTGCCTGAAATACTTCAGAATGTCTCTTTTTCTTCATGTATGGAAGAGATGGTGGAAATCCTGGTGATGGCTTTGCTTGAAAGTTGTCCTGCACTTTGTCATGTGTGATGCTGTAGATGAACCCTGTATGTGTGAAAATGCTCAGAGTTTGGCCAGGCTCTTGTTCTGCCTTGTTGCAGAATTCCTGAGTGACTTTGAAGGAGTCATTTGGACTTGTCCAAAGTTCAGCCCCTCTGGGAGCTCTTGGTCACAAAAATTAGTGTAGTGTTGCTTCCCTGCCTCACAAGGATCTTGTGATTGGAGTATTTAGATACCCCAGGTGGCAGAATTAATGGAGAAGAGTTCTGAGACTCTGCCTGCATTTTAATAAAGGATTGAAGCCTTGTCATAATAAAGAATTGGTCAAATTTTGAAATTAAATGGAGGAGGCAGAAGACAGCACTGTACCCTGTGATCTTGACGGTTGAAAATGATGAATTATTGTAGAATCTCAGAGTGCTTTGGGTTTGGATTGGAAGGGACCTTAAAGCTCATCCTGTACCACCCCTGCCATGGGCAGGGACACCTCCCACTATCCCAGGTTGTTCCAAAGCCCATCCAACCTGGCCTTGGACACACACAGGGATGTGTCAGTCTGGTGTCTAGGCCAGGCCATGTCTCAGTTTGATTGATGACTTTTTTACTGACTGTTTCTTCACGTGGATTACACTATTTCAGTGTGTTCATGAGATGTACTGTAACTAAAGCACACAAGTCCTGCTTTGAGAGCTGTTACAGAGCTTATATATCCAAAGTTTAGTCTTTGGCTCCCAAATCCAAGAGCTCTTCCTTGCTCTTGGCACAGGTTTGGGCTTTGGGCCCTGGTTCAGCACTCAGCTGCCACTACAGTTCTTCTCTCTGTTTGTTAGTTCTGCTGATCCCTCATTCTGCCCTTGAATCCAGGCTCAGAGTTTGAATTCCTGCCTTGTTGCTGTAGAATTGCAACAATAGCAGGAAACCCAGATTTTGGAAGTAAGGAAGGTTAGGGTTAGACAGATAAGGTGTCAGTGTGAATCAGTGTGTGCCTTGAGTAGAATTCAGAAGTATCTGGCTGCCAGCCCTGTGCTTAGTCAGAGGTCAGTCCCTTTTGTAAGACTTGGATTATGACAATAATTGCCATTTATATTATATTTTTGCCTTGTAAGATCAATCTCAAGTTCTCTCTCTCTTTCCCAGAGATGTAAAGCAGAGTAAGTTACTCACCCAAGTGGCAAAATGACTGGGTTTGCTCACTGCCAGCATCCATTAAAATAATTTTATCAGCAGAGAATTTCAGAGAATAAGTGGAAGAACAGCTTGTGTAGAGCAGTGAGTCGGGGTTTGGGGCTCTTTAACCAGCTAAGAAACTTGAAGCCTCCTGAAGAAACGATGTGTTGATATTCTGCTCTCAGCTTGCCTCCTCTAATTTGTGTAGCGGTGAGCATTTGATTACGCCGGATTTATTTTCAGAAGTTTCAGGCTGCTCTTATTAATTGTCCCCATTTTGATCGAAGGCGTGTGGCAGAGCTCTGCATTCCAGAGCCGCTGTTTTGCATCCCTAAACAGAGCTGCTGACACTGGGGCTCAGCTCGGAGCCTGATTTCCCTCCTTGCTGCAGCACGAGGCTCTCGTTTCCCTGGGATGAGAACAGTCATTACAAGAATTACATTTTGTTTGTGAATCAGGATGAATGGGAGTAGAGTCCTTTTTTTTTGAAAATCAGAACCCAGAGTTGCAA